GATGCCCTTGGGCACCAGGGGCCGGTTTTTCTCGACGGCCAGGGCGCCGTCGACGAGCTTGATCTGGTGCGGGGCCGAGCCGGTGCTGCGCCTGGCCGACAAGGGGTTCACGACCTTGAGCGCCGAGAACGTGCGCTTGGAGAGGATCTCGCCGATGGCGACGGGAGTGTAGAGCTTGTCCCTCGTGTGCTCCCAGTGCATCCTCGCCAGCACGTCCTCAGCGCCGAGGAGCTCGTCGGCCGGGAAGGTCCGGGGTTCGCCGCCCAGAAGGACCTTGTTGTATGCGTCGACGAGTCGACCCCACTCCGGGAAGCCCTTGGGCGGTTTATCGCCAGGGCCAGGTGTTAGCGAAGCCGATGCCGGTGAGGGTGCCGGCGCGGCCGGTGCCGGCCGGGGAGGCGGGGCCGAGAACAGGTCCCACTGCCTCCTCGCCTCCGACCACATGTGGCGCAGGATCGCCTGTGCGACCGGGGCCTCCTCGTCGTCCACCTTGTGCATGGTGCCGGCCACGACGACGCCGTCGCGGAACGGCCGGAACACCTTGGTATCCACGCTCTCCCAGGTGTCCGCCACGAGCGCCAGCGTGGCGGTGCGGTTAAGGGAGCGCGCCTCGAGGTACGCCAACATGTCGGGGCCGGCACCAGCCGACGCCGCCAGCGTTGGGAATTCCACCATGGCCGAGGAGACCAAAGCCGCCGAAGCCATGGCACCGGCGACGAGGGGGGAGGCGGGACGAGCAGAGCAGAGACGCAGCGCTAGTCGACGGGCCGGCTGGTAACTCGGACGGGCCGCCGGCGACAAGCTGCCTAGGGCCTTTCCCTCGCCCCTTGTGTTCATGCAACCGGGGACTCCGCCTCTTCGGTGGGTGAGCCCGGCGCCGGTTTGTCCCGAAACTGGGGGAAGCAGCGCAANNTCGGTGATGCGGTAAAAGGCCCGAACGCCGTACGGCCAGGAGCACCCCTTGGTCTTCCAAAGGAACCTGTCAGCCGAGGCCTCGGCCGGGTCCGCCGCGTGCACTCTCAGCGCCTTGGCGTTGTAGATGTAGTGCTCGGGCGCCGTCCCCGTCGCGGCTGTCAGGGCCGCCGGGTCGGGCGTGGGCTCCGGGACGAAGTCGACCGCGGGTGAAAAATCCGCCGGTGACGTTTCCTGCCGGGGGACCTGAGTGTTCCCGGTCCGGTCGATGTCCAGGATGGCCGGCGTCTGAACGGTCGACGCCGCCGGGGCCTGCGCCACCGCCGAGCTAATCTCCAGCGTCGGCGGCGGGCACCCCGACGCCTGGTGCAGCACTCGGTTCGGCACGTCCGGGGCCAGCGCCAGGGGTCCGCCTGAATGTAACGCTCGACGGCGGCCGAGGACCAGCGCCCCAGTAGCTGGATGACTGGGGTGGGCACGCCTTTGGACGCCAGCCAGGACGCACCAGCCACCCGAGCCAGATGTCCGCCGAACAACTGGACCGGCGCACCGGTGTGATCGACCGCAGTGGTCTGTATGCCGGCCGCCACGAGAACCCGTCGAAATAGGAGAATGGCCGACGACTTCTCCCAGGTCGCGCCAGAGCTGTCGGGGAAGAGCGGCCGGTCCCTGAACCAGATGCCCGCCGCTTTGAGGCGTTCTGTGTGCCGAACCGCCGAGTGGTATGGGCACAGAGGCGACACCGCCGCTCGGCAGGCGCACCTCAGCTGGCGCATGGTCAGCTCGGTCTGGCCGCCGGTGGCCGCCTTGTGCAGGGGTACCCGGAGGGTGACGGTTCCGCCCGCCGCCTCTAAGTCCTGTGTCCGCGCCGCCGCGAACTCGATTTCACGAAGCATGAACCATGCCGCCAGGAGGAGGGCGTCCGCGGCGTGTGCCGACGTCCACGGCGACCACGCCCGGGCCGCCGGGGCGTCGTTGATCGTCACCAGGGCGGTCAGCCGGTCCACCGGGAACACCGTCTTGAGCCGGCTGCCGGGCAGGCCCCGAAGGACCGCCCGAGTGTAACGCCGCATGGCCTTCTTGAGTAGCGGGTCGACCGCCTGCTCCCGGAACCGCTCCTGATAGGCCACCGCCGCGTCAAAGTAGTTCTGGGCGGAGCGGTAGCCGCCGCGACGCAGCGACGCCGCGACGCTGCGAACCGCCTCCAGTGAGATGGGCCAGGGCTCGACGGCCCACGCCTGGCACAAGTCCACCCAGGTGCGGACCCGCGACTGGAAGGGTCCCTGCGACGAGCGCGCCAGGACGTTCTCGTCGAGATCAGCCAGGGCCTCCTGCCGGTGTTCCGCCAGCGCCGCCTCGATGGCCGAGCGTTTGCACGCCCGTCGGACTTCCCGCCGAACCGGCAGGTCACCCCGTCGGCCGGGAGGCACCGGCGCCGGATCGGGTGCCAGGCACCGTCGCGACAGCCAACTGGCCGACCGTCGCCGGTTGCGCCACCGTCGCCCCTCCCGAGGGGGCCGGTGTTGAGCTGATAACCAGAGCTTCGCTGCCGGGCCCGTCGGTCGATGACCCGGTCCCGGCGCGGTCGCGGTGCCACGACGCCAAGCTCACCAACACCTGTGCCGGTACCCCCGCCTGGACCAGGGCGGAGGCCGAAGCCAGGGCGGATGCCACGTCGCGGGCCCCAGCCGCCGGCAATGCCGGGAGGTGTTCCTTAGCGCCGAGCTCGACGAACGCTCGAGCCAGGAGGGCGAAACCGTCGCGGCCGTGAAGGTCGACCGCCGGCATGGTAGGGCGTGTGCCGGGAAACCGGTCTCCTCGAGCCACCTCGCCTGCCTAAAAAGAAAATGAAAGAAATAGAAGACGACGACGACGCAGGCACAGAACATGAGGATGCACACTCGGAGTCGCCGGCTTTTCCTTCCAGTGCAGTGGTGCAAACTGCGGGTGAGACACGCCGGTGCTTACGGCCGACGTGTCCCGCCAGGAAAGATCGCGCGGAGAGGCTCGCGAGAGCATCCGCCGGGAAATAAAACAAGAGCTAAGGCACCCGACGAGGAGGATGGCGACAACTCGCCGAACCAGCGAAGTTGTAGAAGGGCTCCTCGACGAAGTGCGCCGGCACGGCCTGGACCTAATAGTCTCGACCACGCCGGCCGGCCCGATGGCACTCCGAGCACTCATGGTGCTCGTGGGCCGCCAAGTCGCCGAGCTGAGCGCCGGCTCCACGACGCACCACGATGGGCCGCAGGCAGCGCTCGACGGTCGACAGGCAGTTGCGGCCGGCGGGGCATGGGCGGCCGCACCAGCCCACCACCCAAACCTCGCCGTTCAAGCGCTCAGGGACGCGCATCCCTCTGACGCCGGGCGGCAGGGAGCGCAAAAAGAAGTAGGCCGCTCCGCCGGCCAGCGGCATCATCTGTCCCTCGCCGGTAGCCGCCTGCCGCTCCAGGTCCTCGAGCTGCGCCAGGTTCGCGACGGCGAGCTGCTGGAATTCGTCGTTGACGATCGTCTCCGTGGAGTGAGCGCCGGGAGTCTCCATCGCTCGGATGTGGGCGCGCCACTCCGCCGAGCAGAGCTGCTTCCGCTCCTCGACGAGCGTCCGGTACTCCCTGTCGGCCGCCGCCTGCTGCGCCACAGATGCATTGCGAGCCGGCTTGCGGGGAAGTGCCGGGAACCCCTCGCCGGTCTCGCGGTTGGCATTCGGATAGCGCGCCTGGACCGGCGCCGGTGTCGTTGCCGGCTGTGGGAAACTGGCCCTTGGCTGCGCCGGTCTGGACCCCGACCCCGACGCAGCATCCCGATCGGCCTCGTCCTGCCGGAGCTCGCCGGCGATGCGCTCTTGGAGCTCGCGCATTCGCCGGTCTTCTGCCGCCTTGGCGTCCGCCTCCGCCAGGTAGCCATCCAGTGGGCCAGTCTGGTCGCCGGAGGACGACGCTGCCTGTGCCGGCTGCCGGGGCGGGGGCGGCCGCGGCTGAGGTCCTACCTGCAGCTCGCCCCGCCCCATGGCTGCATAGAACGCCAGGGCCGACACGTAGTTCATGGACGCCGCCATCTCTGCGTGCTCCCTGGTCTGGAATCCGACTTCGCGCCATGTCGCCGGGGGCGGCGACTTGCCGAAGACAGCCGACTGACCGCCGGCAGGCGCATCGAGATGACCCATGGGCTCCGGTGCCGGCTGCGTCAACGCAGACGGGGCCGGTGAGACCGCCTTGGCCGGTGCGGCATCCACCGGTGGCCGGGCCGGCGCCTTCTTCACCGTCGGCGCCTTCGCCGCAGCCTTAGCATCGGCGTAAGCGGCCTCCGACGCCCCCAAAGCCACCGCCAGCACTCGTCGCTGCAACCTGGTCCACCCGCCGAAGTGGATCGCCAGGTCGACTCCGCTGTCCAAGGCCGCCTGCAAGGTGCCGACGGCCGCCGTGATCTCAGTAGTGGACGGAGTCGACGACATGGCGCCAGGGACGAGGCTAGCAAGAAAAGCTGAAAGTCGGGGGGCGTCGACGCGGAGCCGCAGATTCTGCGGCGGTTGCGTCGATCGCCGAACGTGTCCCTGCACACACATGTGTGTTTCACTACAAGACTAACATGCACCACCTCTAGAGTAAGCAGAGGCTTCACGGCAGGGCACCCAGAATCTTGGGTGTCCAGGAGCCGATGTGAGTCTCGTGACGAGGCACCTAGTGACACAATGAGGAGCGGTCAAGTGGGCAATACATAGACTGTGAATCACATGTCTTTGCACCCAGAAAGTTTTGCACTTCATGATTCATTTGTCATTTGGCATCTCCGAACGTGGGTCACCTTTTGAAGGGCTAGCTCGCCGAGTTTTGCAATCGATGCCCGTTCTGAAAACCCGTCAAGTCCAGCCATGCTTGAATAGTTGCATGATAGAGGCGCGGGTCCAACCTGGCCAAACTACGACGACTTGCATCGTTTCGCCATCCTAAGGAATGGCGAGAGCAGTCCTCATGACTCTCGAGGCCAAGGACTTTCGCCTCGGCTGCTGCAAGCCACATCCACTACCGCCACCGCAGATGACTGGGAGCCAAACCACAGAAGCCGAAATCCTCGGGCTGCAGGAGAAGCATGCGAGCGAGCGCTGTGCAGTGTCACAGTTCCGATCGAAGCTGCCGAGCGTCGTCTCCCATATACGTCCTTGAGTCAAAGCTGACTTGTCAGTGTCCCCATCGTACTCGTCCTCCTGGGGATTTGCGGGCACGCAGCATTGGCTGTTTACGGGGTTTGCCTTTGCACAAGTCGCACCCTGTCGACTACGAGAGGCTGAGAGGAAGGACAGTAGAAGCAAGCCAAGTAGCACTATTCCAGCCCCGACGCATTGGCGATGAGGGGACGAACTGGATGACCTGGCGCCACAATGCGCCCATCCCGACAGATCACGTCGTGCAGGTAAGAACACCACGTGCAAAAGGCAAGATGACATTCTCTCCGCAGGCGTCAGAAGCTTGCCTTTCCCCCGTTGCTTGCCTCGCAAAGCCTCTCGTGGTCAAAGCTGACTCGCCTCTCCGAGGACTGGAAACGTCTTGCGGAGGTTTCGCTTTGCAGCAAGCTGTGCCTCTCCGGAGCATCCCTGCAATGTGAAGGCTAACAGCACATCCTTCTATGCATCGGATCAGCTATCGGTCAGTCACCAAAGACGGCCAGTCGACCCCTTCAGACTTCGCTGACGCACAGCCTGCCCAGCCGTGGATGCACAGTATCTGCTGACACATACAGTTTGCAATAGTCACGGGCACCACCATGGCACATGTGTTAGCCAAGGTGCAGGTTTCGGGCTGCGTTGGCGTGACAGCGTAAGCCTGAGGCACCAGGGATCCAGGAAATCCAGGAAACAAGTCTCGTTCCAGAACTTTAGAGCCAAACCTACGTGTGCCCACATGTTCGAGCACAAAAAACCGCAAGAAAAGGCAAACAGACGACCAGACGCACAATCAAGCAAACGGCGTGGTCCGGCGCGAACGTGAGGATTGCGACGTAAACAACGGGGTGCTTTCAATAGCAATGATTTCTTGGGCAGTGCAGCTGCTGAGGGAGATACAAGTCTGCATCGAGGACTTCATCGCCTAAGCTGCGGCGAACACAGCCAGATCCGCCTACTGAACATGCCCCCAAGGATGTCGCATTCAGGAGTGCAAGTGTGCATCTCCATCCTGCCGGTAGCGCCCGAGCATCACACACTAAAGCAGCTGTGAACCAACTGGCACCGTAAAAATATCAGTGAGCTCTCCAGTCCAACCATGCAAGCAGGAGAAGAGTAGTAAGCTTCATTGGTCACTATGGCAACGGGAAGGTTCTCAAATTTTGCACGACCTTGCCCTTTTCTGGTCTTCCTGGCCGGCCGCCATCCCCTAGCGGCTCGCATGGCAAAGCAATGAGACTAGCAAGTTGCCGAATACGGTACAACAGTCGGCCTTTGGCCACCGCTTTTTACTCGCACATTCACGTGAATTCCGCATGTGTACAGAGACCGCAACTCCGACAACTCTACTCACGAAATCCCTCAAGCTGCAATGCCATCAATGCGTCTCACCCGCTTTCGAAGTGGCCCCGGTGCGCCGAGGCCCTGGGAAAGCAGGGAAGTGGAAAACTTTCCGACAAACAATCCAAGCTCTTGCAGTCAGATTGGACATGTGGGGAGCGGTACATTTGCATCCAAGGACACGGCACCACATGAACCACCGAACACTTGAAGCGGCTGAGATGGCAGAGGGCAAGTCGAAAGCCTGCAACGGCACTGGTTTGCTAGGTGAACGAAGGTCAGCTCCCTGCCTTCTGGCGATTGTGCTAATTAAATGGTATCACCGCACTTCTCATTTACCAGTAAGCGCCGAACCTGTTCTGGACATCTGGGGCATGCAATCGTTCCAGAGCTGCAACCTGCAATGAAGGAAGCGGCGGTACTTTGCAGTGCGGCTTGCGGTAGGTCACATCCAGTCTCTATGACCCTGTTTATAAATAGTGCGAAAGCGGCAGAACTGCAACAAAGAATCTAAACCACTGAGCACAACAACGACTCACCGATTCTATCTCAAGCTCCACACAGCAAAACGACACGGAAGTGGCCACGGAGCCCATGTTCACTCCAGCTACTGTTTGAGTTTTGACTGTTTTGGCTACTGTACTTGATCAGCGCGAGCACGATCCGATGCTCAAGAGCCAAGAGCACGACATAGCAAGCAGCGACTGCGATCCTCGTTCTTTGCATGCTGCCTGTGACGGCACTTCGGCACATGAAGGCTGTGACGACACGGAAGAAAATCGTACAAGCCCCCATCAGTGCCGATTGAAATCAGTAGAGTCTGATTGCTTGGTCTCAGGGTCGCGCTGAGAGCAGCCTTCTGGCTCTCAGCTGCAAGGTCAGAAGTGCGCTGCTTTGGGGATAAAACTAACAACAACCCCAACATATCAGCATTCTAGACAGAGCCGTTGAATATCAATATCTGTAGATATCAAATATCTGCAACAGCCTCGATGTAGTCTAGCGGGAAAAATCAAGCGTGTCGGGAGAGCTGCAGCCAAAGCTGCATCCGCTGCCTTGACTGCTCCACCTAATGCATCACCTCGGCCCGATGCAAATCCGAAGCATCATCCACGCTAGGCACAGCGAAATTGTTGCATCATCTAAGACACGCGGCAGCTCTCACGGCAGGCAGGTCTGTGTTTGTCCAACAGATGAAGAGCCTCCCACCGCAGTGCATCGTACCAGTAAGACAAACAGTATCAAGAAATCAATGAGCCTCCGATGCTGCTTGCTGGCATGCAGCACGCCGAGTTGCCCTTTCCTGACAGATTTTGCCGATGTCCTGAAGGGACAACAGAGCCAGGCGCTTTCTCCAGGTCGGTGCAGAAGAGTGCTTCCTCGCTTAATCGCTCCAAGGAGAGGCCAATTGCTGCAGTCGCCGTCTCTGCCAACACCTGATACGAAAACATGTTTGCGCACACTACAGTCACTACATCTTGGGGTTTATGCTCAATTCTCAGACGTGCCTCGGCATGAGACAAGCCAAAGCCGTGCTTCCTGCGACATTCAAGCAACGTACGTGCTAGGTGCATCCGAGCCCCCATGATTGCCACGCATGTTGCACACCTGACCTGCCCGTGGAAGCCGAGCAAGGACTCTGCGGCCTCGCACCATCTCGCGACAGGTCCGGGAGAAGTTGAAAAGGTTGGTCACGGCTATCCGGACAGTTCGATCAGCTCTGCTTGCCCGTACCGCTCCTTGTAGAGATTGGGGTGCATTCCTGAGGAGGCGGAGCCTCACAGGAGGAGCGAAGTGTAGATTTCGATAGTAAATGTCGCGAGACCTCCGTCAAGCAGAGATAAGCGGCCTTGTGGCGATAGCGCCTTCGCTTTCTCTCTTCGCCGGCCTCACGGCTTTTCAACTTCCGAAAGAACTTAAGAACGCCAGTTTGCCGCATCTGCTGAAGAATGCTGACGGTACTTGTATCTGCACTTACAAAGCAGCAGCTGTCTTCCAGTGGAGAAGTGAAAGCATCGACAGCTGTGTCAGCTGCGCGATTTCAAATCGCTCTGCTGTGCTCAGGCTGGCGCTTGCACTGGCGCTGCCCCAGCCAGAGGAGCTAAAGCAGCTGCCAACGCAGCAGCTGCCTCTGCAACTCCACTTGGCTGCACCTGCTCAGTTTGCGACGACGAATATCCGACCAGGTGCAATGCGCTCTGCAAACATACCCCTCGACCTATGCTAAAGGATTGCAGCATGGTGAGCCGCGCAAGTAGCTGACATCCTATACCTTGTGAGTGGATGCACTTGCTTTGTATCAGCTTTTTTGCAATGACCGCATCTGTACACCCACGGACAGCACTCATACTCAGCTGCTGCCTGTGGAGGGAAGTCGTTGACGGAAGCTCGGCCCCTGAGCAAGGTCTTGGATTGCACCAGAACTCACAGCAGTGTGCACTGGCCGTGCAGCTCCGGCCGCTGGCCGCTGCGCACGAGGTCCGGGCTGGCTTCCAGGTCGGGCAGTGACACGCGACGGATAGACGGCAGCTTGCCTGAACAGCTTGCAACTCAGCTGGCAGGTCAGCATGGCCCGCGAATGCCCGCGACTCCCTTAAAGCTTTAAATCCAATGGTAAGAAACACAACAAGTCCATGCGACGAATACAAAGTGCCAAGCGGAGACACGGAAATGACGTTAAACAGAGCGGTTGCGCGCGTTCGTTCTGCTCAGAGCGCCGGCGCAAGGCACGACACGTGTATCCAAGAGAAGCATCCAAACGACGCGGCCGGAACATCGACACACGAGGGAAAGCGATGTGCTCAATTGTGCTCGATCGTATGGGCACGTATGCGCGTGTTCATCTCGGCATGCTTCACCGAGAAGATCCAGTCCACACGAACCAGTGAGCTTGGGGGCCTACTCAAGCTTTTTGCAGAACAGCTAATACAACCATATACTGTGAGAGCATGTGA